TCGAATGAGGTAAAAGGTATATCTATAATTAGGGGCTAAAGGGTCGCAGCAGTCCATTCCATTATTCAAAATATCCATTTCATTATTCAAAATTGGCTATTTCTTAATTTTCACGCGTATTTTGGCATTTAGGTCCTCCGTAACCCCTCTAATGGTCATTGCGGCACATATCGTTTATACTCAGTCTATTCCTCTATCAATAAACTTTAATTTGGTGTATAAATTTTTCCTTGATTAGGGGCTGACGGGTTGCAGCAGTCCATTCCATTATTCAAAATAAGCTATTTCTTAATGTTCACGCGTATTTCGATATTTAGGTCCTTCGTTACTCCTCTAATATGCGTTGCGGAACATATTGACTATATACCTTTTGTTCCTCTCTTAATAAGCTTTCGAATGAGGTAAAAGGTATATCTATAATTAGGGGCTAAAGGGTCGCAGCAGTCCATTCCATTATTCAAAATATCCATTTCATTATTCAAAATTGGCTATTTCTTAATTTTCACGCGTATTTTGGCATTTAGGTCCTCCGTAACCCCTCTAATGGTCATTGCTGAACAATTGACTTGTTATATCTATAATTAGTGGATGAAGAATAGCAAAGGTCCAGTGAAAATAAAAAAAGACCACGTAGAGTATTTTAATTTATAAATATATGTTTTGGTATTCAGGTCGTCCATACATTGAACCAAGGAATTCCTGTTAAAAATAGTTAGGAAAACCCACTAGTTTATCCTCCGAAACTAGGAACCAGATAAATAAATCAAATTAGAATTTAAAGAGTGTTTTTATTTATTTTTTCTGATGTCAATTTGAATATTTGTTAGATAACACCAAAAAGACTAATTTAGAAATACGGGATATAGCTAAAATGTCACAGTCAATTTTTTTATTTTTATTTCACTATTCACCGCTTTAACTTGAATAATGAAACATAAAATATTTCATTATTCATTATTCATCACTTGATATTGAATAGTGAATAGTGAACTATTTCATTATTCATTATTGAATTTTGAATAATGAAAAATGAATAATGGACGTACTTCAGCGTGGTAATAAATTAATGTATTTTAACAAATGCATATTTTAATCTGTCAACCAATCAGCTAAATGTGGTTTTCTATTGGTCTAAATGGCAATACTACAATAATCAATACATCTTACCAAATAATAACAAAAAGTCGGCATTATGCATAGAGGAATATATTATCTTTCATTAATGTCGGACGTCGAAATCTAAGCAAAAAGAAATTGAAAATAAACAATGATAGGTGTAATAACAATTTTCAGACAGCAATAGATCGGTTTCATGAACGGTCTATTCCTAGCCGTTTAAACACAGAACCAAATTTAATTCGTGAAATTACTCATCAAAATCATATGCATACAATGTGGTAAACCGATTGTCAGACCATATTTATGTTTTATTGTCAGCTATCAGACCGTCTTATTATGTTGTCATGTGTAAGATCCGGTCAATATAGTGTTGTCAGTTGTCAGGCCCTGTCTTATTATGTTATCATGTGTAAGATCCGGTCAATATAGTGGTGTCAGTTGTCAGGCCCTGTCTTACTATGTTATCATGGGTAAGTCCCTGTCAATATAGTGTTGTCAGTTGTCACAACCTGACTATACTGTGTTGCTTGTTGTCATATTCTGTCAATACAGTGTTTTCAGTTGGCAGACTGTCTATACTGGATTGTCATGGACTATCTATACTGTGTTGATAGTTGTAAGTCCAAAACTATAATATGTCTTTACTGGGTTGTCAGTGACTGTCTATACTGTCTTGCTTGTTGTCAGTGACTGTCTATACTGTGTTGCTTGTTGTCATATCCTGCCAATACAGTGTTTTCAGTTGGCAGACTGTCTATACTCGGTTGTCAGTGGCTGTCTATACTGTGTTGATAGTTGTCAGTCCAAAACTATACTATGTCTTTACTGGGTTGACAGTGACTGTCCATAATGTGTTAATAGTTGTCAGTCCAAAACTATACTATTTCTTTACTGGGTTGTCAATGACTGTCCATAATGTGTTGATAGTTGTCAGTCCAAAACTATACTATGTCTTTACTGGGTTGTCAGTGACTGTCTATAATGGGTTGATAGTTGTCAGTCCCTGTCTATACTATGTTGTCAGTTTCCATACTCTGTTTATACTGCGTTGTCAATACCTTTCCATACTGTGTTGTTAGTTGTCAGAATACCCGAATTAATGTTAGGGTTTCCTTAAGTAGATCAATAAGTTTGGCATTGCTTTATCTGGGGTACCCATTTCAATCCGCAACTCAATTAAACCCCTTATCAAAATTAATCGAAACTTTCTCAAATCTTAATAACATTAAAGGTACTAAATGTACTGCACTAGATATGTATGGCCGTCTCAGAATCTAAAGGACTATAATTTTATTGCTCGTACCCTAACATAAAAATAACGTCACGTCATTGGTTGAATTTTCATTGTTAAGAACGTTTTTAACCAATCACGACGTTTTTGTTGTATACTTTTGAAAATATTACCCAGTATGCATTAGATTCTGAAATGACGAATTAATGTTACTTCCCATGATGTTCGAGGCTTAAACATTTTAAAAATCCAAAACCTAAAACAAACGTTGAAGAGCTGATAAAACAAGATAGACCAAATGCGAAGCCCAACCCGGACAAAAAATGCGATCTATGCACAAGAGAAATAAATACATTCCTGATTTTAAAAGGATTTAAAAAAAGTTTGAAACAGCAAATTTCAATACAACAGTATTCGTATTACATACCAATACCGAGAAGTATTGGCTACTTAACTGATGATAACCTAGCGGACCTACATTTCACCATCAGACTTCATTTATATTTGTTAAAAACAAAATTGATAAAAAGAAAAATAAATAATTGAAGCAAGATTATGCCATGCTTTAGTCCGATAATTAAGGTTTTACATATATTAATCCTGTTGCGACACGACTGTTTTCAGGCGATCTCTGCATGATAACAAAAAGTTTACTAGTAACACATCTGAGTTAATCTTACATCTTAAAAGTATTCCTCAGTGAATATATTTTTTCTGTGTTAAGAGTAACTTATTAAAATAAAAATGAAGAAAGTTTATTAATGGTTTTTGTCTCAATTTCTTTTATTGACGTAGACCACTCTTCTTCACTCATTGATATTTATAATCTTTTAATGGCTAGGGTTCGGTGAAGTGAAGATTTATTCATTATAGAAATTATCTTACAAGCATTATGATAATATACATCGGAAATCTTCTTTCCATTAATCGTTATTGATTTGAAACAGTTTGTTAGGGATTGGCGTAAATTTAATTCGACTCACACGATGAATGAATATGATTGTGGATGTTTTGGTATAATAAAATTTTCTGAAAATTCTAGATTGACATTAACCACTTCCAGACTTTATCTAAATTTATTTTTCGTGCATTTTTTCACAGTATTCTTTCTCCTGTTTTGCGATTGTTTCGCATGCAATATCTAGGATTCCTGAGGCGTTTATGATATAAATGCGAACTGTTACGGTAGTGTGCAGATATGACAAACTCCATGTCATGTGAGTGTCGCATAACAGCCAATAAAATATACATCATATGATGAAGACATAATCTTTCAATCAGTTTAATTGAGGTCTGGAGCTGGCATGTCAGTAACTGCTAGTAGTTCTTTGTTCATTTATGTATCATTGTCATTTTGCTTAGTTTCTTTTGTTACCTATTTTGACATCGGACTCGGACTTCTTTTAAACTGAGTTTTACTGTACGTATTGCTATGTGTTTTTTATTCTACATTGGCTAGAGGTATAGGGGGGGAGTTGAGGTCTCACAAAACATGTTTAACCCCGCCGCATTTTTGCGCCTGTCCCAAGTCAGGAGCCTCTGGCCTTTGTTAGTCTAGTATGTTTTTTTAATTTTAGCTCATTTATATGTTTTGGAGTTTAGTGTGACGTCCATTTTCACTGAACTAGCACACAATTTTAGTTAGGGGCCAGCTGAGGACCACCTCCGGGTGCGGGATTTTCTCGCTGCATTGAAGACCCATTGGTGGCCTTCGGCTGTTGTCTGCTCTTTGGTCGGGTTGTTGTCTCTTTGACATATTCCCCATTTCCATTCTCAATTTTATGGTCATGGAGCAAAACTTGACTTAAAATGCAGTTGAAAAACAACGTCTTTTGTTTTCGCTTAATGAAAAAGGCAAATGTTTAATGGCTCCTACGTGCAGAAATTTAGTATATTTTCTATACTTTGTAAAATATGAATTTGATTTTTTGGATTTTTCAAATCTCATTGAGATAAGCGTTCGATTGAAAGTAATTCCATCCTGTATCATCCAATCAGAAGCCGTACAAGATTCTATTCTGAGTACCATCTTTAACAAATAATTGCGCTCTTGTTACCACCAGAGTACCTTATCTTTCAAATTTATATAGTTTAAAAATCTTCTAATCCATGAATATAAACATTCGAATTATAGTGCAACTTCAAAATCATCAAATAAGCCTTGTCATCATAGGCATTTGTGTGTCTGTGTCCAAATTTGCCCCACTGAATTATTTGTCTTGTCTTGACTGTCTTAAACCTAGCTTAATCACAACCTACTGAAAATTTCTTGGGCTAATTCGAAACGAAGTGTATGTTAATTATGGTGTTAGCCCTGTATATCAATAGGCTATCTAATGGAGAACGTCTTTCATAAAGTTGTCAAATGTATAGATACTGTATATTTAACTTTAACTAACCTCTTATTTGCCTATTTTTGTTTAGCTTCGTTTTGATTATATAGCACTTTAACTGTTTCGGTTCTTATACATGTATCCTTGGCTTTCAAATATTCGGCTTTGAGCGTTCCTGATGGAGGTAAATCCAGAAAAGTGCTCCAGCAGCATGAATTTGTGAGGTGTTGTTTTTATTTTTATTATTATATATTATTAGGTTTTGGGTTTTTACATCATTCTGTAGTCTTCGTTTAATGGGGACATTTAAATATTAATTATGACGCAAAAAGAAAATTTTACAGTGGTGATTATAAATGAAACAAAGACGAGATCACATGACAATAAATACGATACTTTCGTTGATAGTTTGATTTATGTATTCACTCGAAGTGAGAAAGAATTAAAATGTGGGTATGCTTAAATTGTCACGAGTTTAACAGTCCGGAGAATGAAAATTGTTTAGCATGCCATACAGCTCGACCACAATCAAGAACAGGAAGCGCAAAAGGTATGACATTAAAGTGGTGTTTATACATATATACTGATAAAGTGATAGATTTTGAAACGTAAATATATTTAGGGTTGTGGCAAGAAGGAAGTAAAATAAAGATAACTGCTAAACATAGGGTATGCAAAATAAATTGGCGGCGAGATTTAATAAGTAGAGATAAAGATACACTGCATATTTAAGACCACAAAATGAACAAAAGCAGATGTTAGGTAAACGTTAATGAGAAAGCACATCCTAAAATAAACAAAACAAAATATCTAGGTCAATATACAAGTATGGTCTTCGTCAAGAGAAAGGTATATCATCCCGAGTATAGACAATTTGTAAATAAACTCAACAGCGACTATAAAATACCTGCTATCAAAACCAAATTCCCTGAATGACCAACACTAAGAATAATGATAAAAGAAAAACAAGAGAGCTACAGATGAGGTTCCCGGCTTGGAAAAGATTGATTGGTGTTTGCTTTACGCCGCCTCAGCACTGTCATAATATTATTTTTCGTAAATTGTTTTGTTAATGATTAGGCCGTTAGTTTTCTTATTTGAATTTTTTCATATTGTTCATGTCGAGGCCTTTTATAGCCGACTATACGGTATGGGTTTTCTCACGGTTGCATATAATTGTTTGCATCCACTTCATTTGGACTTTGGTGGATAGTTGTCTCATTGGCAATCATACATCTCCTTAATTTATATACATGTATATCGCGACGAGAGCTAATTCAATTCTTGGAAAAGAGGGGCGGAAGATACGAAATATACTTTGTTGGAACATGCATATTCACACGTTGTGAAGGTAAGTTAAAGTAGTTATTTGTCTACTTAATCCTATCCCTTTCAATATCGATGCATGGGATTGAAATTGACCGAAAAGGGTCAACATGCGGTCCTGAACGAATTATTTTAAATCTTAACCCTTTTTGTATATTCAACTTTTAAAATGGAATGTTTTATGGCACCCATTTCGGCACAATTTTCAAGGTTTCGATGAATGCACAAATTACAAATAACCAATAAAAGCTACACATAAATGTTTTCATCTTTTTAACATGTTTTTTTAACTATACGGCTTGTTGTCGTCTTGTTCCCGGTGGTATCACCAGCCTAGTAGACAACATTCTGGTAGTGGCGTAAAATGCTTTGATGAGGCCCTCTTCTGTCAATTGGCAGTTCTCAAAAGGTTAAAATCTTTCGATTATCATTTAAGGTTTTTGTATATATTTGGTTTTCAATGCTCTTCAAATCTGTAATTGATTTTGACGAAAAGCTTACAGCTGTTTTGTTTCGAACGCCACTGGTAAGATATTTTTAGAAGAAACACGGGTCTGTCGTACTAAATAACAAGCCACGTATCTTTGTTGGTAACTTTTTACAAGTCTCTATTATAAAGTACAAAATGTACGTCATGTTTCACATCAATTCACCACCAGGGCCGTTACTACCGTTGAGGAATTGCCTCGTCTGATTTTCTGGCAAAAAAAAATAATAAGAAAAAGAAAGAAAATGGAGAAAGAAAGAAAATTGGAGAAAGCTAGGCATGCAGGGGTAGAAAACATCCTTGCATTTTCTTGTATAGAAATAAGAAATGCATACTTCGAATAGTAATTAATGTTGCGTGCAGCTTCTGTACTTTTATTTCAACAACGTTAGATATCGAACTCTCTGCGTGAATACCATCGCCATTAAACCGGCATTTGGTCTGCCATTATTCATTTCCCGCGAAAGAGTCTCTTGAACAAGTTCGACCGTCAGAGATGACTGAGAACAGGTTATGTAGTTTAGCCATGCTTCACATCCATCGTTCGGACAAAGTCGGGCAATTGAACGCAGAAGATGTTCTCAAACGATGGGATCGTTGGGGCACAAGAAATGTCGAATTAGCATTCACAGACAGTGACTAGGTTCCAATCTTTGGGCTTTATTAAAGTGTTATTAAAATGTATGTTATTTATAATGAAGCGTTGACCACATACACATGTCCCGCTTTTTCTACTATCAAACCCAAGGGTGACTGGGGAATAGAAATATGGTCACCATTGGTCTTCCAGGCTCCAACTGGCAGTAAAACCCTCGCCAAAGTGACGCGTCCGTTTGGCTGTGCGGTGTGGGATGTACAAGTCCGCAGAGACGCCCGGTCAGAATAGGGACGTTAAATCCGATGTCTCGTGTAAAGAGAGTTCCACGCTCTATGCAGATTAAGAACCCTTGCAATAACTCTTTGAGGGGTCCGTAGCTAGTGGCCTGTTGCAAGGCTAAATTTCTGTCCCTATCCAATATACCCTCATTTTCCCGTGGCAGTCCAAATTTCCCCCGACCATCACCCGGACGGCCTCTATTACAGGACCTACCGATTGTATTTGTTGTTCGTCCTGAACATGCATGACATATTTGCCACTGGACTTTAAGCAACCAACAATCAATTAATTTTCTGCTATCGCATATGTATCTTACTGTAAATGGATGCACGTTTGATTGTACAAAATTCTGATAGCCCAATGCAGTTCTTCATACGGTAAATATGAAACAAAAACAAAAACGGATGTAACAAGTTTTATTTCGGACCATTATATTACAATTTTCGGCCGGGGCGCTCGTCTGTTTCAGATGCCTTGATACGGCCCTGACCACAGAAAATATTAAAATACTAGTACTGGAAAACATTGGTTAATATGCTAAATCATTCATTCTGCAAATGTATTTGCTTGCATAACTTGCATAATGTTTTGACTATAATTTTCCAACTAACTTTACATAATCAATTGTTTTCACTTTACAGTGATCTTTCATTGTTTACATGAGGATCTGGATGGGGAGGGGGTCCTTAATTTCTGGGTTTCTTCAAATATTTTGGGCATTTTTCTATATCTTCAAAAATCACGCTTATTGTGTAAAATTTCTATAATCAGTATGTTCTTACCGGATTCTTTTATTTTCCACACTTATTAATCTTTATACTTTTGCACTCCATTTTTCTCTATTCTTTAATTTTTTGGCCATTATTCTCTTTTCTGTAAAACCCCATCCAGACCCTCTTACATGGGAAAAGAGTCTTATATATACGTGTGTAAAATGTCTAAAAAGGAAAACACAGTCTTCTTTCTCTAATCCTATGGCTTGCATCAATTATTTCTCACATAAAGACAGTACATTGTTCAATAAAGTTACATTTTTGTTACAAAATTGACATTATCTGTAAAGCTTGACTGGGATTAATTTTTTGTTGTATTAACTATAATTTTTTGGTATATCTTGGAAGGTCGAAGAGAAAACAAAGTTAGCAGCCTCTTTCTCGATGGTATTAAAAGGTCTGTTGATAAGACTGCAGTTGTTCGAACAAGACGACCAGCTAGCGAAGGAACTTTGGAACAACGACAACAAACTGATGACGTTGAGAAAGTAACAGAACATCTTGTTCAACAATTTAAACATTTGCTTTCAAGTGCACCAAATGAGCAGAAATTTACAAGTGAGTATCTGTTTGAGATTATCTGTGAGATTATCTTAAGATTAGTTGTAAGATTTTAATGCAACTTAGGATGACCCTGTCCTTAACAATATTCCTGTCGGTACGTTGTCGGTAAATCTATACGGGAAATAAATGGACCAATCATATTAACGTATTTCCTAATATGCAAATCATATAAGAATTATCACTCTTTAACATCGATCGTATTTAATGTTGGCCTTCCAACTGTTTAGATTCGAGTGCCACTGATGATTCGTATTTACATGTATAAGAAACGCGAGTCTGGCGCGTAACAAATTATAAAGCTGTATTCTCCAATGAGTATCTATGCATATATTGGTTAGTCGAGGGATGCGTTGCCACTATATAAAAAAAAATATTGATTTTATCCCCTGAGTGAAGGACAAAACTATGTCCTTTTCCCCGGATCCGTCTTTAACCTTATGCATATCAGGGATCAACCATACGCTTGAAATATTGATATGTGAGTAATGAGATCTGATCATACATATACATTTACAGCAGGGTGAGGGGTTCAAAGAAGACAAATCGATTATTTAAACGTTAAAACCATTCCTCTTGACGTTTAAAAACAAGACAGAAGCTATGAAAATATCAAGTAGTACGACTTTTTTTCAAATTTCATATGTAAATGGACAATATCTCGAGAGAAAAAAACCCAACATATTTAAATGTTGAATTAGGCCGGACAGATTTAGGAGTTAACATAAATTAAATTTGTTTAGAGTGAGTAAGACCTAACTCCTTGTTAACAATTTATTTCTTATTTTGAATTTCTGTATATTTGTTTACATTTTCTCACTAGTTCTAAATACAAAACAAATTTTTAGCTTAGATTTTAAAACTATCCTTATTGTGTTCTATTTGTGAGAAAACTAATCGTAACAAAGTCATAACGTTTTAATTTGGTTGGTTAATATCGGTTGGCACATGCAAATTCCTTTACATGAAATGTGTCAGAAGAACGTTACTTTATTTGCAGAATAGTATTTTTACACATATATTTTATCTTTAAGGACATGACTTGGATATGTTGCAGATGACAAGTCATATGTTGGTGGCTGCTGTGGACTTTGGTACAACTTATAGCGGTTATGCTTTTTCCTTTCGCCATGAATTCAAAGACGACCCTCTCAAGATACATGCTAACCAAGCCTGGAATGCTGGAGGTCGATCTCTTTTATCTTTAAAAACACCAACATGTCTGTTACTGAACAAAAACAAAGAATTTGTGGCGTTTGGCTATGATGCAGAGAATATGTTTTCTGACATTGTAATGGAAGGTGAACAGAACAATTACTACTATTTCCACAGATTCAAAATGAAACTACATAATAATAAGGCAAGTTTATCAAACTTTCTTATAATCAGGCAAATATACAAATATTTCTTATATCAAGTAAAGTGTTTTTGTCGTTTGATAAGACTAATGTGTTAAACTATCTCATAATAAAGCAAGTTTGTTAAACTATCGTTTAATAAGGCAAATGTGCATAACTTTCTCATAATAAGGAAAGTGTTTTAAATTGTCGTCTGATAAGACAAATGTGCAAAACTTTCTAATACCAAAGCAAGTGTGTTAAACAATCTTATAATAAGGCAAATGTGTGTATAAACTATATCATATTTAGGCAAGTGTGTAAAACTATCTTATAATAAGGCAAGTTAGTAAAAATATTTCATAAATGTGCAAAACTTTCTCGTGTTAAGGCAATCTTGTTAAACAATCTTATGATAAATCAAATGTGTAAAACTCTCTCATAATAAGACAGTTATATTTGACCTTATTAATATTAAGGCAAGAGATGGAAAACGATTATGGGTTTAAATCAATGAAACAAAGAACCACTTTTAAAAGTGTTATATCAAACAGTATGGAGCGCTGTGTTCATAAACATGTGTACTTTCACTTAAGTTCATTCAGTTGTCTATGTTGTGTTTTTGTATATTCCGTTTGTCTTTTGATTGTTTTTGTTTTCATTTTTATGCCATGGCATTGTCAGTTTGTTTTTGACTTATGAGTTTGAATATCCCTCTTTGTATCGTTTGTCTCTCTTTTTTAGCCATAATCAGTTTGGCTTCACTAGGGATTCAGCACTAGATCAATTAGTAAATATTTCAAATGATTTTGGTATAGTTCTGGATAGTGGTAAAGAAATAAGGGTTGTATTATATGATATAAGAAAATCTTTCGATAGAGTTTGGCATAGGGGTATTCTTTTCAAATTACAACAAGTTGGAATATCCGGAAAGTTTTTAAAATTCTGGAATTCCTGTCATTTAACAAAATAATAGAATAGAAATGAGTTTAGCGAATATATCATTTTTTGTATTACATGTAGTTCATAATAAATAGCCAGCAGCTTATCTCAGACATTTGTAAAATTACAGATAAAAACAAAACGGGAATAAAGACAAGCTAGCAATTCTGACAAACAGATCTTTTCATTTTCCATTGCAGCATATCACAAATGAAATGGTTTTAAAAGACATTTCTGGCAAACAAGTTCTAGCGCTTGATGTATTTTCATTGGCAATCAAAGCATTAGTTAAGCATTTGCTAGATCTTCTGGAAAATAGGGGGACTAATGTAGAGATGAAAGATATACTATGGGTATTGACAGTTCCTGCTATCTGGTCGGATGCTGCAAAACGGTTTATGAGGAATAGTGCTGAAAAGGTAAAACGTCCAAAGATTATCCAAGCATTAATTTGAATTAAAAAGGATATGCGTTAGATATAGACAAACTGACATTATCAAAATTGTCTTTATGATGTAACTTTATATACATTAAGTGTTATCATTTTATTCTGGCCGGATGCTACAAAACGGTTTAAGAGGAATAGTGATTAAAAGGTAAATGTTCCAGGATTATCCAAGCATTAATTTGAATGAAAATGGATATGCGTTTGATATAGAAAAACTGACACTATTAATATTGTCTTTATGCTGTAATTTTATACACATTAAGTGTTATCATTTTATTCATGCCAAATGCTACAAAACGGTTTATGAGGAATATATAGTGATTAAAAGGTAAAATTTCAAGGATTATCCATTAATTTGAATGAAAATGGATATGCGTTAGATATAGAAAAACTGAGACTATTGATATGGTCTATATGGTGCAATTTTATATACATTAAGTGCTATCTTTTTTTTGGTTTTTAAATATGATAAAAAATACTGTTTTGAAAGGAATAGTCTTTGATAGGCTTCTTGTTCCTTGACAGACCTCTCACTGTAATGGAGTAATAATGTAACGTTCACCAACGAACATCTGAAACAGATTTTCTTTCCCAGGTCCCCTTTTCAGCACGCCTTATTTTAAAACGTATTTAGGACCATCTACGTCTGAACAGGGTTCATGGACGTATATACAAATGTAATCTAATGATTATCAATTTTTTAGGCAGGAATTCCAGAAAATAATTTGAAAATTGCGCTTGAACCTGAGGCAGCATCTATTCATTCTCAGTATCTTCCAACAAAGAAACTAATTGGAGCTGAAAAACAAGGATTTACAATGACAGAGCCTGGAACAAAATATATGGTTGTTGATCTCGGTGGTAATGTTCTTAAATTTATTGTTTGTTGATATTGTTGTAGTCCAAACTCCGACACCGTGGTAACGTCGTCTTTGCTACGCTACTTTGAATGTTTAGCAAAGCAACGTCACCGCTGTTTCGGAGTTTAGTTAAGTTTTTTTAGACAATACTTATTGCAATTATTGACAATAATCTCCTTATCATTTGTTGATATTGTAAGCTGTCGAAAGAGATTTTTTAATATCCCACATCAAATAACGAGTTGCAAATGATTTAAAGAAATTTTAAGAATCTACCACTTTATTTTCAATATTTTTCAAAACTCTTTTTGCATTTTCACTTCTACAAGACTTTTCATACAGTTTGACATAATTTTTCCATGCATAAAGATACGAAAAATCATAAGACATACTTTTCCTGTCAAAGGTTCTTATTTTAGTTCATCAATCAGGCTCGAAAGCCAAGTATGGGCTTTTGCTATCACTTTGCGTCACTCGTCTGTCGTTTATTCGTTAACTTTTACAAAAAATCTTCTCCACTCTGTAACTACATTTTGTACTGGTCTAAATTGAACTAAAGTCGGTCACACTTATCGTTTGTTTTGATTTATAGTTCAGTTTTTAAAATCTGCCACCTAGTATACGAAAAGAAGACATGGGTGAAATGCTAGTATTGTCTGTTACTTTGAAAAGCGTTAACGATAGATCAAATCTGACCGAGCAAAAATGTTCAGAATGTCAAGATTTAAACGTTGTCTACCGGTATTTTGGCGAAAATTCTTGAACGACTCCTTATAGTATTGACAATGTATCACCCTTTCATAAAGATTTTTCCATTTTCTTTTTGCCATTTATCTTGGAAATTACGATAGATAGAGAGAAACTTTTCAGACAAGACAAGATCTACAATAGTTTAACATCGTAGAAATTTTCAGACCACTCTTTATATAGAGGTTATTGCCCTATAATGACGATTTGTTTTTAACCGACTTTTGTGTTTTGCCTATTATCTTGAAAACTACTACAAAGATAAACTTTTAATAGCAAAAATTATCAACTAGGGTTGATCTGCAAAGTTGTTTACAAGAACAAAATTGTCAGTTGACTCTTTAAATAATTTGTTGCATTTGAAGGATGATTTTAACCCACTAACTCTTTTTGAGGTTTGAATATAGTAATCATAATCGCGACAGAAAGAATGGTAGTGAAGCTACAATTTGCACATATGAGTGGTTATCTGTTATACAGACATTCCATAACGGTCAACCAAGATATAATGGCGCTGGAATGACTAGCTTTGTCACTAGAACCCTTGATTCAGTACCTTCTGTATTAACTACAACCCTCTGTCATTGAAATTATGAAAGGAAATGCAAGCTCAAGAATACCAACTGGGAGATAAATATAGTTTGAATCAGTTCTAACTGTTCAGTTATAGAACTTTCATATTCGGTTTTAGAGTAGAACTGTCAGGATAGTATGTTCCTGAGTAGAACTGTCAGGATATGTTCTAGAGTAGAACTGTCAGGATATGTTCTATGGTAAGAACCGTCAGGATATGTTCTAGGTTAGAACCGTCAGTATATGTCCTAGGGTAGAACTGTCAGGATATGTTCTAGGTACAACTGTCAGGATATGTTCTAGGTTAGAACAGTCAAGATATGTTCTAGGTTACAACTGTCAGGATATGTTCTTGGTTATAACTGTCGGGATATGTTCTAGGGTAGAACTGTGAAGATATGTTCTAGGTTACAACTGTCAGGATATGTTCTTGGTTAGAAATGTCAGGATTTGTTCTAGGGTAGAACTGTCAAAATCTGTTCTAGGGTAGAACTGTCCAAATCTGTTCTAGGGTAGAACTGTCCAAATCTGTTATAGGACAGAACTGTATGAATATGTTCTAGGGTAGAACAGTTCTACATACATTTGTAACTTAAATTAAAGCTGGTCTCTGATTACGATTTAATACACAGTGACTTCAAATTGTCAAGTAACATGTAGTCAAGAAAAATCTTTAAAATAAAGGTATTTACTGTAATATAAATTTTTCACTGAATAATAAAATGTCAGAAATATATTTATGAATAAGTAATGTTTTCAAACTGAAAATACATTTCAATAATATGGTGACGATTTTTTTGTTGTTGGCCATTATATGGTTTTAAGAACTATAAAACATAATTTAATGTATATTAACAGGTGGGACCGCAGATATTACTGTGCACAAGAAGCTGTCAAACGGAGGACTAGAAGAACTGAAACATGCCACTGGTAATGACTGTGGAGGAACTTCCGTGGATGGTCATTTCTTTCAAGTACTTACCCAAATTGTCGGTGGTCCCCTTATTAAGATTTTTGAAGAAGAAGATCCAGAGGGTTATTTAGATCTCTTTCGAGAATTTGAGGTGGTAAAAAGAACAATACACCCGAGCAAAACAGGAAAGGTAAACTTCTCGATTCCATTTGTGTCACTTAATGAAAAGTGTAAAACTCACCTAGGTGAAACCCTACCCGAAGTCTTTCTTGCATCTCCATTTAAAGATGATATTTCATTTCGAGGCGATAAAATGAGGATTGATGTTGAACTGATGAAGAACATTTTTAAGCCATCAATTGACAATATAACATCCCTCATACAATCAGTATTAGACAGCGATGCCTTGATAGATGTATCGCAGATTCTTCTTGTTGGTGGGTTTTCAGAATGTTTACTTATACAAGACGCAATAAAAACGAAATTTCCAAATAAAAAGGTAATAATACCAGAAGAGGCAGGGTTATCTGTTCTTAAAGGAGCAGTGCTATTCGGACATAGACCATTCTATATTGAGTCACGAAAAATGAAATACACCTATGGCATAGAATTGAAGGATCATTTTGATTCATCTGAACATGATAGAAAACGATTAGTTTTTGTAGATGGAATCGAATATTGTGATAAGATATTTGAAAAACTTGTTACAATAAATGAAACTGTTCCTGTGGGGTCGACAATTAACCGGTCATACAGCGCTACTGGGACAACAACCGAAACGGACGAATTTTCATTCTTTATATCAACAGATGAGGATCCGCAATATACCGATGAAGATAGTTGTTCTCATCTCGGGACATTATCCATCCCCCTTTCCGATCCATGTGAAGGTGGACGACCAATAACTGCTATGTTCTATTTTGGGGGAACAGAAATAGCTCTAACTGCTACAGAGGTGAATTCTGGGATTCAATATGAAGCCAATTTCAATTTGATTTGAAAAAAGAAAATAACAGTGATGTTTACAAAAATATATACTTTAGATAAAGTATTGAATAATGATCACAGAAGTGTCTGAAATGTTTTACTATTAAAATCTATATAACATTCTGAATGTGTTTTAAATCTAATTGCAGTATTAAGTTGGAGCTGCATGTTCCTCTGTACTGGCCTGAAAATACGGATATTGTGTTATTAAAATTTGCTGTTACAAAAGTTTTGAATTTATTTAAAATTAAAGAATATATCTCCCTTATGCAAGATCGGACTCCTGTCTGGCTTTTACTATACTTTTGTCCTTTTTTTTTGGTTTTATTAGCCCTTCAATTTTCTAAGATTTCAAAAAATTACCAAAACTTAAGGGAAAACTTTTTTTTTAAATAGGTGCATACTTCATCAAGAATGTAATTTATTTTGGCTTTTCAATAATTGTTCCATCTATGTAAATACACTGTACTAGTAATATCCAGTTTAAACAAATACCCTATAATAATCTTCGACTTAAATGTAAAATGTATTTAAATTAGAACTGTTCTCATTATGAAAAGGCAATTTATTCAGTTGGAAAGCATTTTTATCTTGACGTGAAATTCGGTTTAAGTTAATATATATAACATATTTTATTTGTTTTATAGATATAAAATCGAAACTTGGCGAAAAAATAACGAAGAGAGAAAAAAAGAAACAATAAAGTATAGAAAAATAGGGAAAAAATATAAAGCATACAGAAATGAAAGACCTCTTCTTAAGACCCGCATACAAATACCTAATATATAGATATATGTACAAATATTTGGTCTAGAAGCTTGACTGTCCCTGTAAAAATATACCTGTATGGTCCTAATTTTTACTGTGATGTTGTTTATAGAGCTCGTTAATTAAGATACGACCCGTATATGCTTATTTTTCTTTTGAATATTAAACTCTTTCTTAAAGGTTAATTATTAATAAGTATAGTAAAATATTTGAACATTTATTTATCTTTATCGGTACTAACTTTGATATTATATTTAACACTTAAATATATAACTAAACATATATCGCTTTCCGGGCATTAACACGTATGGTCAACATCCTGTCGATATGTATATTTTGGCATTTAAACGGACGCCTGCTTCATCAGAAAATTTTATATTATCATTCGTCCGGCTAGTCAGAAAGACACCTCTCAATATAGTGTAGGCAATTTTCTATTGTTGAAAACTCGTATGTTTAAATTTTACTTTTAGAGTCTTTTTGGTTTGATTGTGTTCTTGATGTGATGTGATGTCTTATTGTCGTATACCTAACAATTTGTATTCCTATGTAACAGTAACATTCTCCTGAAATTGTTTACAGAAGTTTTACTTAGGCCAAGCTTCAAATACAATACAGTTATCTTTTAAGTTGTCCCCCTTATACCGATTTTGATAGCGACTTGACATAGCTATGAAGTCAGTCAGCCTGCGAGTTTTTTTCGCCGGCAAGATTATGCCTAGTCCCCAATAATTACGACGTCTTGAAAGTCTACAACAAAACAACAAAATAGCCTTTCATGACGTCATAATTATTTGGACTATATTATGCCATGTTAAATTCTCAAAATCAACAATTATAATCATACTTGTAATATCATTGAATAAAACGAAGTTGCCAATACCACAAGTTCTTGTTTTTTCTGAAAATCTTTTTTCCTTCTTCGTCTGACCTAGATAAGGCACCACCTTATGGAATTTATATCCACTATGCAACAATATTTCAATGTATTCCATAAAGTATTGTAATTTAGGTACTATAATTTGTTAAAGACCAAGATATCTATCAGGTTAATGATTTTCTTAACGTTCAGTGGCAAATATTGCATGCATGTTCAGGACGAGAACAATTTAACAATACGGACAAGAGATATATGTCCTGTAATAAGGGCAAGAGTGTAGGGAAAATGAGGGTAAATCGGATATGGACTGAAATTTTTCCTTGCAGAAGACTACCAACCTCTCAAAGAATTGTAACAAGTGTTCTTGACTTGTAGGGAGCGTGGCACTCTTTCTCTACACGTGGCAGCGGATTTAACGTCCCCATTCTGTCCGAACGTGGCTGCGTATTTATACATCTCGCACAAACGAACGGATGCCCCACTTTGTCGAGGGATATACTGTCGGTTTGGAATAGACCAAGAATGACTATTTTTTTCTATTGCGCAGTCACCTTTAGGGTCACCTTATTCTAGTTATTTTTAATATGCTTCCACTGAGCTGTCAACAAAGGCTTAACTTTTTATCAATCTTTCAAACAGAGATTTCCTTATTTCAAACAAACAGAAAAAAAAATGAAAAATATTTAATCATTGCTAACTATGGTGTACCATTTGGTTCAAAAGGTATTTTTATTGGTTAAACGCTATTTATGTATCGGCTAATCACTATCTTTATCGGTTAATCGCTATCTATATATCGGTTAACCGCTATTTTTAATGTTTAATCACTTCTTATTCATCGATTATGCATAAAACAACTTTTTATTTGACACTATTCTCTGAACGCCAACATATTAAAATATTTTTACCTGTATTTTATCGGCAGATCAAAGGTTGTAGGCATTAAAGAAATAAACCGTTTCTATTGGTAATTTAATTCGAAATATGGAAATTTTTATATTCAAATATTTTACAATAAATTACCATTATTACAATAATAACATGCCAAGGAATTATTGTTTTGAAAATCTTACAAATTAAAAAATACATGTACATGACAAAGTACAAGTTTAACCAAATGTAGCTTGAAATCATTATAATCGATATACATGTATGGTCAATTTTACGGCTTTATGTTGAAAAAAAAACGCCAATTCAAATCAACCCTCCAAGGGTTAACAGTAGTATTAAAACATGGTCAAGTCCGGTCAGAATGTGGAGGTTAAATACGATGTCCCTTTCGTAGAGAGTTTCGGGTTGTCTGGACATTTGCAACAACTTTCTGAGTGGTCCGTAAGTGTCCTGTTGCTAGACAAAATTTCTGCAAAAAGGTGTAAAATTTGCAATTGTATGTGATATTGTATTCAATGGCAATTTAATGTCCAGATGCACATTTTGATTTAAGTACTTTAAACACTTTTGCAGAATCTTAAAATATATTAATCTGACACTTTGATATCACTAACGGATTTTTAGATTTATTTTATCTTGTTCATTTAGGGTTGGTTTATAGTATTATAAGACATTCGCCGACTACACTCCACTTAAAAATCTTGCATACTGATATATAATTTTTTCAAAAAATTTACATTACTTCTTGCACAATTAATTGTGAAAATGTGGAAGACACATTCTTTTTCAATGACTTTATCTCAGCTCGATGTACTGCCTCTCAAATTGCAAAATTAATTGTCGATTTATAGCAATTACTCTTGTATCACGACAGCAGATCGACATAAAATAGTCGCAATCACATTTTCCTTAGTAGGGCCTGATATAATAGTTTGGCGATTGACCCTTATTCTTGCATATTTTCTGAGTAATATCAACTCCAGGGTCTAACAAGAATGTGTCCATAGTACATGGATGCCCCAATTGCACTATCATTTTCTATGTTCAGTGGACCGGGAAATTTGGATAAAAATTCTCATTTGGCATTACAATTAGATAGATCATATCATTGGGAACATGCGTACTAAGTTTCAAGTTGATTGGACTTCAACTTCATCAAATACTACCTTGACCAAAAACTTTAAGCTGAAGCGGGACAGACGGACGGACGAACACAGACGGACGGACGAACGAACGAACGAACGGACGCACAGACCGAAAACACATAATGCCCCTAGGTGGGGCATAACAAATGATAGATTTTCATTTGATTAACGTACAGTGTAGCACACATTCATTCATATTCAAGACGAGAGCATATTCACAATGAACACAATAAGTAGGTTCTGATAGGAAAGTCGACAGGCGAGAAATGTGAATTGCTGCTGGAAAATATCGCTTTGATGAATATGAGTAGATACTGAGATATTTTCCTTGCAATATACCAGATAAGTACCGCTCAGATAGGTGTAGCAAGTGTTTTAACGTGCAGAGAGCTTGGCACTCATGTAGTAGGATAATTAATTATGGGACTTCACCAACATCATGTAACATAACTACAAGACTTTAAACATTGGTTGAAAATTGGCATGTAGAAAGTTGAAACAGGTATAATTCATGGTTTTCGTGAAGTTAAACTTAAGGTAAACTATTTAGAAAGCTGTGAAAATTGAAAAATATGGTTAAATATATGGTTATTTTGAATTGGAGGTCTCGGAGCGGGAGAATTCCATGGATTACCAGTCAACCCTTGGGATTACCATTTTTTATGGAGTAGCTTTCTGTCAGGTTATAATCCTGAAATATGTTCATTGGTCTTACAATGCATGTTTTAGTAATTCTGTTGCTATATATTGCATTACATTCAACCAAAAGAGTAAAAAGCCTGTATTTTCTCACGTAAATTATAAAATATTCGTTTTACACAATGCAGTTTACATCCTACATAGAAGGATTAATTAAAAAAAACTTGTTTACTAACAAATATCGGTCCCCTAGGTCAATGTAATTACAATTTTATGAGTTATATGCTGTATTTGAATAGATTAGTAATAGAAACCAAGCCAAAGTTAACATTTTAAACTTGACATATTTGGCAAAATATCATCTTTAGTTAAAAATGGTCCAGTTTACCATTCTTGTATATATAGGTCTCGTGTATATTAAATTCATATTGAACTCCTCTTCAACAGGTACAGAGAACTTATTGTTTAATGTCATAAATTAAGTATTCTCCATTTACGTATTTAAGTTAATATAATGTTATTTAATACATCCGTTTTGTTGTTCTAATAATGGGAATGTTGTTTAAATCACTGTTTACCATCGTATCAAATAAAATTATACCTTCAAGACAGGTACAATCAAAACATATTTGGGATTTTCACTATGATTGACATTTTTAAGACCATGACGTGATTTATGTTTATTTTGGTATCTTTTGACTAAAGTCGAGAGTATTTTGAAGTAGAAACATACCTCAATGGGTAATAATCCAGCCAAGAGTGAGCCCCGTGTTTTTAATGGGGAAAAGAACCTCAACAAAGTGACAGCAACCACTGAAGCTGAGTTAGAATCGGAAAGTTTCCTCAATGATAAGGTTTGTTTTATATAATTTACTATCATATACTAAAATATATATAAAGCACGTTACTCTTCGGGTGATTTTAAATGTATTCTTCACTAGATACGAAAAGTTTAATTGTTACACACAAGGAACATTGCAAACAAAAAATCAAGCATAAACATTAACCCTACATAATAAAATATAAATTAAAGTAAAATTATAAAGTAAATTTAAAAACAACACACAAATACACTAGCTTATAAAATGGAGGGAAAAGAAATTACAAGCTGATTTGAAATATAAGACGCACGTGCATGTGACACACTCAAACATATTTTTTTCATATTGTATTCTTTAAAAAAAAAATTAGGGAGATGAGGTACAATGTATGATTGCCAATGAGATAACTATCCACCAAAGTTCAAATAAAGTGGATGTAAGCAATTATAGGCAACCATACGGCCTTCATCAATGAGAAAAACCCACATCGTATAGTCGGTTTTAAAAGGCCCGACATGAAAACGTGAAACAATTCAATTCAGAAAACTAAGGGCCTTATTTATGAAAAAATAATTAACGAAAAACAAATATAACAGACATGAACCATCGACAATCACTACACTACAGGCTCCTGACTTGGAACAGGCACTTTTGCTGTCAGTTTTCTTTTTAATTTAAATCTTCTATTTACTTTTCAATCCTGCAATACTATAACCTTGGTCGTAAAATGAAGAAAATGCCAATTTACTATACTAGTAATATGATGATAACCTATTTAGGTGAATTATAGAATAAAAAGATTTTAATTTTAATTTTGGAGTGCAAAATTGAAATGGAACGGGGTAGGTTAAAATTCTTACATAAAATTCAGTATAACGATACTTTTCAATTTAAAGTGGTAACAACTGTTACTTGTGTTAAAAGTAGTACATTTGAGTAGATGATGCCTCATTGGTATAGTAATTTAAAATATCTCCGACACGGTCATTTACAGTTTTAATTTAAATCTTCACTAAAATACAACGTATTAAAACTATGTACTAAGAGGTGTCGATAACGTTAAGTAATGTTTTGAACTTAAATCAATTTATTATTAATGCTTGAATAACGAATTTGGAAATAAATAAACATCACGGTTAAAAGGTATGACAACAACAACAACAACAACAAATAAAACGTACTTAATAAAATATGACAGAAATTGACGCAATTTGCCTTTAAAAATATAGAAATTGATAAAAACTTCAGACCAAATAAGATGAGAACAATCAGATCAGATAAGGAAAAAGAACGACAATAAAAATGGCGTCAGTTTATGATCTCGATATATCTAAAATGTCAATATATATGTATTATTAATGACACACAACTGTATCTCCTTTGCGTATGAGTTCTGAAACAAAAATTACTACGTATCAGTTATCCCTACTACAGATGTTAAAATAAATGATAAACATATAGTTTGGACGCTTTCTTTCCAAAGCTTGTTGTGTCATGAATTACTCACACGACGCACTTGACACAATCAAAAGAAAAATGTTTCTCTCTCTCTCTCACTTATCCCCTTATCAAATACGTATATCGATGTCCTCAACACAGAATAAATCTCCTTCTCACTGATATTTTAAAATTGTATTACAATTACAATTTATCCTTATTACTAGATAAGTAGATGAACGTAAACACGTCTACCATTCTTGTACCCAAAGGTGACTTCGGAATTGAAATATGGTCACTATGGTCTTCTTTTCGATTCCTCGTATAGAGAGAGTTCCACGCTATCTGCACTTAAAGAACCCTTGCAACAACTCTTTTCAGGGGTCAAAAGGTGGCCTGTTGAAAGGCAAAATGTCTGTCCCTATCCAATATGCCCTCATTTCACAGTGACACTCCATATTCCTCCAACCTTCATCCCGGACGTCAATCTATTACAGGCCCTACCTATTTTATTTATTTTTTATTCGTTATCGTCCTGAACATTCATGAAATATTGGCCACTGGACGTTAAGCAACCAACAATAAATCAATCACTACCATTCTTTATATGGTTTCTAACATTTATGCTACTAGGTCTTATAAAGTATACACGAAAACACTTGTTTCTTTTAAAACTTGCTTATGCCCAAAGAGCATGCCTGTCTCGGTCACCTCTGTCATGTCCAACTCGATTAGAACGGTCATCTGCATATCTTTATTGTTTCCGGAGTTAGGAAATAGTTGCGAAATGTTTGTTCAAAGCAGTATAAATTATGTACAAATTTACTCATGTCAGTATCAAATCAATGAATAGAACATTTCACTCTTCAAAAACAGTTATGATATAAAACATGACTGTCTTTGTGATATTCAAGAAATAGTATGCTTTATGTTCCCCTTAAACATAGTTTTGGATATACACGTCATATATATCTTTACCAATATAATTTGGTTTGTTGAGAAATAAAGAATATATATATTTTTAGTGTAATAATAATTTTTTTTTAAAATAGTCTTTTATTCAAAAGCAATACAGCTTATATATTTTTTTATATATAATACAGTTGATAATTTCTGTGTGATAACATAAAAGTTGACGTTTTGTGTAAACGATGTTTTGTGTAAACGATGAAGAAATGCTATATGACCAAGTCATCATGCGCTTATTAACACTGTGTACCATCACCACCGGATATAGGTACCCCCAAATCGGTTGAAAAAAAATAAATGTGAAGTCATGTAAGGTCACATTCTTCTTATTTTCATTATATTCTACGTTTTGCTGAAAAGTTTTAGGATAGTGATTCCTGATAATGTAGCTACTATTTAGGGCTGTTTATGATCCTTAATTGGCTTTCTCTCTCTCCAAATCGTCAGAATCGGATAGGGTGGTACCTGTTCAACGAAGCATGTGGCGATTTCAAACTTTTTAAAAACACATTTATCCTACAACTATTCATTTGACGTTTTCGTAGAACAAATGTATATCATATTTAAAGGCCGTACGGTTGCCTATAATTGCTTACATCCACTTCATTTGAACTTGTGGATATTTGTCTTATTGGCAATCATACCACATCTCCTTATTTTTATATTAAGCTTGAACAACACTGTATTTCGAAATAAACTATTGTTTACCCAGAAAAGTTCATGTAAATAAAGCGGATAAATTATACGGCGAATAACGGCGAAAAGCGGCGAATAGTTGTTTACTGTACGGGGATTAGAATACTATTTAGGTACTTTTTGCAATCATTGTTTCTTTGTTTCGGGGTACCTATGTCCGGTAGGGATGCTACACAGTGATTAAAAAAGTTTTAAAAAATGTGTAAAAATTGCAAGACTTAAATTGAACACTTCAAACGAATGATTTTTTTTCCTTACATTTCGATACTTTGTCCAAAGAACTAACAAATCCAACAAAAGTAATATTCAATAATAAAATAATATATGTCTGTAAATTCAGAAATTATTGCGTGCATTTATTATTGCGATTTTTGAAAAAATAACAAAAATGCGAGTTTAACTATTGCGAATTTTGGAAAAGCTACATACAGATATAGGTATTTGATATCAAAATGCGAGTTTTTATTATTGCGATACTCAAGTAGTCGCATTATTCGCATTAATAAAAACCTCGCAATAATATCTGAATTTACAGTGTCTTTTTAGTTTTGTTTGTCTTGTTGTGTCTAAAAATAAGGAGATGTGTTCTGAATAAGGAGATGTGGTATGATTGGCAATTCGGACAATCAGCCTCATATGACGAAAGGACGATGATATAGCCGTACAGTCTTCAACAATAAACAAGGACAAATCATATGGTAAACTATAAAAGGCTCTGGAATAACAAAATGTAGACCAATTCAAAAGAAAAAACAAACAACCTGATTTGAAAAAATTACAATAAACGATCGATACACATTCATGGCAGACAATGACCATTCACCACTGGATTACAGGACTTTTGACATGCACATAAATCATTTGGCTGGTATTAACATGCATGTGAGCGCTCACTACTCACTACATTAGACAGTGCTGAAACAGTACCAAAAAAAAAACTGGAAAAAATTTGAAAATGGCTTGACTCTTGGTATCGGTATTTCGCATGAAAAAAAAACCAACGCGAAAACAAAACAAACAATGTCTAACAATAACAGCATAGTTTAATACTTGAGTCTTGATGCTGAAGATAAAATTAATAGGGAATAAGTAATCGTCGATTTCTTTTCCATTTGATAAACTTTAGATATATGTACATGTATGCTGTTTAAATAATTTTCGAAATTAAATACTTGTATTCTATACATTTAAAACTATTTTCGCAAAAACAAGTTTTTCAAAGTATTTTTTGATAATATTATGACAAATCTTTTAAAAAAGTGAATTTTAGAAAGCCATTTGCTTATTTTGATAATTACATCTTATATTGGGGAATATTTATAGAAATCAATAAATAACTAGAAACGATACAAAAACTAACACATGAAAATAATGCTGATCATCTATATTTTTAAACCTAGGTTAAAATACTTCCATCTCAAGATTATTCCTTTGAACCAAATCCTATAACAACAAATCAAGTTCAACGAAAACAAGCAAAGCGAAATGTGGTTAAAAGAGTCCTATACCGGAATGCTCTCTGTGAACAGTATGTCATTGCTGCGAACCATAATGGTTTGAACACTGATTTGGTAGAATTTATCGACGAGAACGCATCGAAGGTAGGCAAAATATGTTCAAATAAATCATATATCATTATTTCGTTTTTGTGTCCTCATTCGGTTATTAACAGTATAAGCAACGATCGTACATATCATTGTATTGTTCAAAATGTGAATTATTGTATTTAAATTTGCATACATTATTTTTTTACTTATGGGTTTTTATAACGCAAGGATTTTTTTAAATCTTGGTACGTTCATGTAATATAAAAATAAGATGTGGTATGATTTCCAAATATTGTGACAACTATCCACCAGAGACCAAATGACGAAGATGACTCCGTACGTCCTTCAACAATAAGCAAAACCAATGCCGCATAGAAATTGAAAAAAAATGTAAAATAATTTAAACAAGGAAACTAACGGTCATATTTATGCACAAAACGAATAAACGAAAACAAATATGATAGACTGCGACCAAAACAACCACTGAATTATAGGCACATGACTTGGGACACGCACATATAGAATGTAATAATGCTTTCATACAATGTATGTGCAGAACGTTATGAAATCCACAAAGATAATTTGGTCGACTGAAGTAATACAAAGGATTGCAATATTATCTCATATCTTGGATTGTTGGTATGCTGGACAGGTGTACAGAAAAAATATGTGCTATTTTAATAAAAAGACTTGACGAAAAGCCTTAAAAAATACTGAAACCTTTTGTATCAATTCAGGTACCACGGATAGCACTTAACAGTTTTAGGGAGCTAAGGGATTATCTAAAAGAACCAATACCAAACCATCCAGACAGTGACATTCTACTGATCAGGTCCTTTATTATTTGGTTGGCAGATGAATTGGGTAATGATACAGTTGAGGATCTAGAGCCACCTCCATCTTCTCCTCTGTCATACAGATCTGCTGAAGGACAAGGAAGGACCCCGGATGTATTGGTTAGACTTTTACGGCAACATAAAACTACATGCACCACAATATTTATCTTATTATGTTGGTATGTTAAAAATATTTGTATTACTGAATAATTTAATTATGGATGTAACACGTCTTCTGATTGGCTGAAAGTGTTTTGTCTATCAGTTCATAGACATAATTTTGTCATGTGACGGCGAAGTCATCAACGTTTTTATCATGATTTACTCCTTTTTAGAATTAAATTATAAGAAATGACTTTAATATTTTTTCTGTCTATTCGAAATAACATAAAAAATGTGGTGCACACTTTTATGTATTACTGAATAGATTTAAACTGGGCGGGTTGGTGTAAAACATAACGATTAAAACACGTTTTGATAAAGTTTTGTTATGCAAATTCAACGAAAGATCAGTGCTAATGAAATAGAACAAAGACATACAAACAACACAGTACAAAATTCGTAATACCTTGTCTGACAATATCTGAACAGAAAAAAAACACATAAGGGATCTAATCCTTTTTGAGTTTTTTTCTGCGTTTGTGTGTAAATCAACGAGAGCTCCTCGAGTGCAGCAGATTTCGTTTATTCAAATTTTACTGCCAAAATATCAAAGACATGTATTGAGCCGAACCAACGTAAAAAGGAAATATTTACGTTAATGCGTCCATATATATTTCATCTGATAAATATTTCTTAGAGACACTCGCAGAAACAGCATAGTTATACTTTACGGAAGTATCGGACCTACATTGTATCTCACATCCATATTTATATGTTTGTAATGCTTAGCATTTTATGTGTTTTAGTTATGTTATTTCCTGGTGAGCGGGAGGTTAACATTAACTATGCAAATGCATTATACGACCAGTACTTATGCTGACTGTTACGACCAGTACTTATGTTGACCTTTACGACCAGTACTTATGTTGACTGTTACGACCAGTACTTTTGTTGACTGTTATTTGTCATTTGGTCATTGATCGATTATTGTCATGGCCTTGTCAGACTAGTTAGCTTATCTTCGACTTATGAGCTCGAATATTCGTTTGGTATCTTCCGCTTCTCTTATAATGTATGAATTATTTCGGTTCTCTATTGATATGCATTACCTATACGTAAGAATTTTAACCGATCAATGTTACCCATTTTATTGGTAAACATTAAAAAAAAATCCGATTATTTTTTACGCTTATTCTAAAATATTTTGTGTATTTGTCGTTGGCTGTTATTCTGTAATATGTAAGTCATATAATGACGTCACAATGGTGTAAATGAAATTCATAATAATCAGTATGGCTCATGCTGTCAAACTACAAATGGAAATAATGTTACACAATTCGTCTTCTTAGCTTACTCCATATTATTTTGCAGGGCTGCTGGTATTAAATGTGACAAGATAAGTGGTGTCTGTAGGAGTGACGATGGAAATAAGTTACTTCCTTGCGCATGGGTAGCAGTTTTTATTAAAGACACGTGGCAGCTTGTTCACCCATATCGCATCTGTCGAACACTATCAGGGAATTTACCAAAAGACATGCTCAAATCTTACACTGAAATCAATTCCGATACAAATGAGATAATAAAGAAAACATTCTTAGATCATTATGTATTGTCAAATCCAGAACATTTTATCTTCGAATGCTTCCCTGATGAGGAAAAATGGCAGTTACTCCTTGAACCAATTACACAAGAACAGTTCTTAGACCATGACATGTTCTTGCCGCCTTGGTGGAGAACGGGTTTAAAACTTACTACCCATTTAAGCCATCGGATAACATGTGACGATGGCAGAATTACGCTTGGTTTTATGGGAACATACGAATCAGTATATGAATTGGTACTATGGTATAATTTGGAGCTGGTTGAGACAGACTTGGATTCAAAAATTGAAAATGATAACTTTTTACAAAAGTTTGTTTATCTTATAAGAAACGAATCAACATGGACATGTGATATACTGTTTCCTTATACTGGTACATACAAACTTGTATTTTATGCCGGTAAATATGGCGAGCCACTACTTAAAGTACTTGCGTTTGATATCGATTGCAATGTTTGTCATCCTGACCCTGTTCCGCTTCCGATTAATACTAGTGCTATTGGCCTGGGACCTGGTCCTTTCATGTACTTCTCTGGGCTATCTCATCCATCATATAGATCTGGAATACTGCACATCGATTTGAGCAGACATTTCCAGATTAAATTCCGGATAGATAATAGAATGTCTGATTTAAGTTCCATAAAAGCAAATGTGTTGTCTTCAGAAGCAACATCGAACCATTCCGAGGATTACGAAGTGACCAATGAACTAACCCAGTGTTGTTTAATACAAAGGAGAACATACAAAGAGGTAGTGATTGACGTATTCCCACCAGAAACCCCAGGACAGTACATATTGCAGATTTGTACTGAAACGAATGGATATTTAGAATCGGAGACAAAAACAGCATGTTACTACCTGTTGATCTACGATGAACTTCCTTTGCAAGAATCGCACGAAGTATGTATACGATTAACTGATAAGGTAACTTTAATAGCAAGAAATAAGGGCCTTTTGCATTAAATGAAAAAATAAAAACATGAAAATCATTTTTTTTTCAAGTAAATACGTTGCTTTGGACCCTACCCTGTATAGAACAAATTTTGTTTGTTGAGGTGTGTTCTCCAATTTTTCTTCTTTCGCAACTTTGCATCGGATATTGCTACTACTACTACTACTATTATTTTTTCTGGAACACGTCCACCAATTAATGAAAATTAACATTCAATTCTTGCCAAGGGTTTACCGGATTTGTAATAACATAAGTAACACGACGGGTGACACATGTGGAGCAGGATCTGCTTACCCTTCCGGAGCACCTGAGATTACCCCCAGTTTTTGGTGGGGTTCGTGTTGCTTAGTCTTTGGTTTTCTATGTTGTGTCATCTGTACTATTATTTGTCTGTTTGTCTTTTTATTTTTGGCCACGGCGTTGTCAGTTTGTTTTCGATCTATGAGTTTGACTGTCCCTCTGGTATCTTTCGTCCCTCTTTTAAAGTTGGATAAAGAAGATTACATTGAATCTACATTCAAATCACACGACAGTCTTCTATTAATTAAAGTAATTAGCTTGTTGTCATTTTATAATTCATATCAAGAATTAAAATTCAGCAGTCAACAAGAACTTTTCGGAAATACCTTTGATGATCACTTGTGGGTTTTTTTAAAGAATGATCCTATTACTTACGTAAAGAACGAATACATTTTCAGCAGAAGACTTGTCTTATTAATGACCCCTTAATATAAGAAGTATATTTACAACTAATCGATAGAAATTAAAATGGAAGCATGCAAATTACACTATCCTTGTCATAACCTAATGGTCACCTTAATCAATGACTATCAAGAGGACAACTAAATCAGACATGAACTTCCTTTTATATTGTCCATAAATTAAACAACTTATATACTAAGTAAAAGTTGAATGTGTTACAGATGACATTCCTATCCATTATTATAGTTCAAGTCATAGATTATTCATTAACAAATAACAAATTTGAAGAACGTTGCTAACATCCATTACGAACTTGAAGGTCACAAATGCAGTTTTTCTGATGATGCAGAACAGGGCCATTTAAACGAGTGTTTGCGGCCATTAATTCTCCAATTGATGGTAACAAAGCTTCAAATAGAGTACTGCAATACTTGTAAAACATTTAGAATAAAAACTTTTGAAATATCCGGAAACCGCGACTTGCACAATGTTTTTGTCAATATCTATGACCGCCATCCTTAGAATTGACGACAGACCCCTTCCAATAAAAATTGACGTTACATTTCTTAATACATTACATTGGGTTTTCTCAACCTTAACACGTGCAACCAATGTACTACTCGAACCGAAATAACCTTATGAAACCGATTTGTTGTGCAGCAGATATGTGTTCTGGACTATAAACTTTCATCAACGTAGTCTTGAGATCAGAAATATATAAACATAGATGATACATATATATGTTGTTGATGTATATAATCATATGTTTTATGTTTTTGACTTGTTATTGAATTTGCTTGTATGCTCAGAAGGATTCCGAGTCGTTGTATAAGTCTTAAATGAATAATTGCTGTAGTATTTGTCCGTTTTCATGTAATATGCCAAATCAAATGAATAAGATTAGCTAATATCGATACAATGAATTCAATAGATGCTTTGATCTAATATAAATATTTGTGGATAATATGGTTATTGGTTTTTTTTTTCAATTGTAGAACTGTGGTATCAGAACAGCTCGTAAGATGTTAAACGCATCAATAGAAGGCAAGAACGTCAACGAAATATTATTCCGTATTCAGGACTGTGCCAGCAAGAAAATAACAGAGGTTGACCTAGATGTTCAGAGAGCTAGAGGAAAAGCTGCAATTCTCAACATTAAACAAAGTAATGGATAGTTTTGTTTTTTATATTGTTTTTGTTTTTCAAGTTAGCTATACAAAAACATTCTTTATATTGATATAAGGCAGCACACCCTATTGTTTTTAGAACAATAGTTCAGTCGATCGACTTTGGATAACTTTGTAGGTTCCTTCCTTTATATCACTTTAATTACAGTACAATGTAAAGGTACCAAAATTAATTTGATGCCATTTGTGCACATTTAGAATTCTATTTATTTCTCGTTTGTGGTGCTTGAAACTAACCGTTGGAAATTGAATAATACCAAACGTTGAAGAACATTTAACCCTAAATTTCACGCTGACACAAAAGAAAATACGTGTCAATCCAGCGGGAAATCTCAGATTTAAACAAATTTTACTCTGACCTTCTCTACTATTTCAATTGTATGTTTATTTAGAAAAACTACACAGAGGTCGAAAAGTGGCTGTCGATCCACGGCTGCATCATTCGAACATAGTAAGACAATCGGAATATGAAGCAAGATTACATAGACTTATAAATCTTCTAGAAAGACTGCTCTACTACCTACAGCATGGTGATAGCTCAAAAACATGGGCAACTGTGAGCAGACCACAATCAGTGAACAAGGAAACAGTCGAAAAGACTGAAACAGTTAATCAAACAGTAAATCTGCTGCTTACGTTATTCAGCAAGTCAGAAGAGAAGGAAAAGGTATATATGTACATGTTTTTCCTTTTATTTATCAACTATACAAAATCCAAAAAATCATGTATTTTTTTAATTAGTAAGTGATAGTTGAAATAATTTTCAGTTGATAAACGATTTCATTGATTGAATAGCAATATTACATGCAATCATGCTAACATTATCTGGAGTTCAGGACTACATAGGTTGTCACACGAAGTTTGTTTAAATAGCTTAAGTTTTTACAAAAATAAAGCTACTTACATCTAAAGTCATTTAGGATAGAGTATGTGTGCGATATGTCAAACTCTAAATCGCAAAGCGTCTAGATAAGCGAGGAACACATTTGCAAAGGTTTACAAGGATTCGCTATCAACAATTAAATCGTTAAAGGGCTCCATTAAACACCCCGTTGACATTAACAAAGACAGCAACTGACGATGTTACTTTCTTCAGACTGTCACATTTAATGCTGGTGGGTAGAACTAGGCCAATCATCTATTTCCCTTCTTTATTTATCTCAATAATTAAAACAACGAACGGTAAAAAAGGATACAATTTCAAATTAATTCTGGAAAAGCACTTGAAAGCTTCAAATAAACAATACCGAGTAACACCGTATCACAAAATAGTCTAAATAAACTATAAGAAGAGACATATGTAATTGTATCATAGTTCAAAGTATACTCATTCTGCTCACATAAAAATCATGATGTCTTACACTTTGCTATGGTCTGGTGTCCTTCAAAGAATATGCCAAACGGCAAATCATGAAGACGTCAGAAAGCCAGATTTTCAAAACGCTCAAAGTTAACTTGTGAACAGTTCCAGTACGAAAAACAGAAAAGAAAACTTATGCATTTATATACTATGATAATATCTAATAAAGCTGGCTTTGAACAAGTTGAAATATCAATTTTCATTTAATTCTATCATGAGAAATCATACTTTCTGTTTCCATGCTAAAATTTAAATTTTAATTTATTTGTTCTATTATAAAGTTTTTTCGTAATAAAAATATTTACCTTCTTTGAAATTTGCATAACGAACCTTCTGAGAAATGGATACTCCGTAAGAAGTAGCCGACAGAGAGAAAATGAAAACTAACAATTGGATGCACAGTGAGTTTTATACAAAGATTTAAATGATTTTTAAAGATGAAGAACGTTACAGAACCGAACGTTACCATAATGCAACTGTTTAAGGTTAATACAGGAAAGGACTTTAGGCGAAAGAAATAGGACTTGTACTATTCTAGTTATTAAAATCAACTGTATTGTTGTGTTTAGTATATATATAATACAATGTTGCTCTTATTTCCAAACATTTCAGGATACTGTTTATTTGATTGAAGAACTCTCGAAAGACCTTAAACAGCATGGGTTTATTCTTTTACCAGAAGACATTAGACGGACGATGGATTTAATGGAAGAGTTCACATTCAACCATAGAGTAAAGATTGCATCAGACATATTCAAATGTGTAAGTAGACAATAATCAAATCGGAAGTAGCTACATTGTAAACTTTGTTCTGATAATTTTTTGCAATGACTTGTAAGAAGAATATGTATTTTAATGTACTTTTGACCAAAGTACAGCACACAATAGGATCAAAGTTTTTGTCCATCATAAACAGATGCTGGCATTATTCTTAAACTTCACGTTCCGCTAAACACAGATGATGTCCTCTCAAAAAATAAATTCGATTTTTTTAACGAACTCTTCCAAGATATTGCTCTTAAAACGTTTTACATAAATCATTGAACTCTAATGAGGAAATGTAAATGTAGGCATAGGAATGCTTACAATGGTGTTTTCAATAATACTAACGTATTCAAGGGACATTACTCTCCTACAAATAATCGATCGGCGCCGAATCATTGAAGCTTTTGCTGAATTACTGAATTTTCATCAATTTCATGGAGGATGTCTGAAGGTACAAGAACATTTAAAATGTGGAACGGACATCAGTATTTCCAGATCACTTTCTCCACTCCACGCCGGGAGAGACTATAATTGCATTCGAGTAGAATTCATGACTAATCAAATACTAGCTGATTTCTAAAGAGAATTGAAAAGTTGATTAAAAGATACATGGTAAATCGTCAATAAACGCTAATCAATCCATTTTCTATATATAAACTCTATAAGATGGATTATTTGCTCGTTATCTATTAACAGATTTTTTTAAATATATAACATCCCAGCAAACCATGATTACCCATACATTTTATCTTTTAAAATGTACTTATTTTATCTGTACAATGATTTAAATGCAGAGGTCAACGTAAAAGAGAGACGAAAGATACAAAAGAGATATTCAAACTTATGAGTCAAAAACAAACTGACAATGCCACGGCAAAACACGAAAAACGATCAAAAGACAAACAACAGTATACAACATGGAAAACTAAAGACTGAGCAGCAAGAACCCCACCAAAAACCTGGGGTAATCGTAGGTGCTCTGGAAGAGTATGCAGATCCTGTTGCACCCGTCGAGTTGCTCACGTAAGTACAAATCCGGTGATAAGTCTTATTCGATAGGTCAAAGTCGAGGAAAAGGGGACTGGATTGTGGCTACCAAAATTGGAACATATCCGTCGTCATCTGTGAAAGATATATTCCATAGGGGCCAACCAACTCGTGATGGCGTCCGTAAAATTTTGGATGGGATGATTCAGCTTCACCACTTAAAGCTGTTGGTTTAATTGCTTCCTTGTAAATAACAACCCTCTAATATACCGTCGTTTCATAGGACTCCTCTTTTTTCACATCTGAAATTTTAAGATTACGTGCAAGTTCTCAGACTAACAAAAATGGTACTAATTTAAACGCTGAAGACATGTTTTTTCTCTGGAACAACAATTCTCAGGTATGCCCGAAACCAAAAGTTTTTGAAGACTGTGTAGTACCAAAAGCAGTAGTGTCAAACAATATTGTCAACACTGACTTACGAATTCATTTTCAGCATTATTTTTCTAGGACTAATTCTTCAATATTTAAAAACTTTCAAAATTTATATTTAAAGAAGTGTTGGTGTAACCATTGTAATTGTCTTCATTGAAAACGTTTTTGCTTTATAATTGTTAAATTTTCATTTCAGATGATGTGTTAAAACATGTTTTATTTATTACAGGTTAACGAGATAGTAACATTGCTGATAAGTGAATGGAATGCGTTAGAAAGATAGTCATATTGAAAGAGGAAACACCATGACTGAACGGCAAAGCTGTTATTTTTGTTTCCGTTTTGTAGCTCACCTACATTAAACTTATTATGTATTCAATCAATCCGTTCTCGTCAAATTTTAAAAGTCATATTTCGAAATATTTCCACTAAGTTAAACAGACGCCATCCCAAAATGGTTAATCGTTTAAACTTATAATATATCTGTGTCACAGATGACCACGAAAACGTCGAATTAGCGTAACCACAATCCCATCCTGTATTTTTAATTCTGACATCACCGAATGATTCTTATCAACGGATATGTACTTACCATGAGCACCATGACGGGTGTCACATGTGGAGCAGAACCTGCTTACACTTCCGATGTATCTGAAACCCCCCTAGTTTTGTTTAAAAAGGGGTTCGTGTTGCTCTTGCTTTAGTTATTTGGTATTGTACTTTGTGCTTTTTAGTTGTTTGATGTCTTTGTTGTTTTAACTGGTCACAGCCTTGTTCATCCTTTGTCCTGAAAAAGTATGTTTCAATTTCAAAATTTCACATTCGGCCAAGTTTAATGATTAGAAAATTTTGCATGACCGATGTTTTACGTATTTGGTGATATAGACGGTAATTAACATTGTGATAGTGCGTGATGCCTAATCACTTGATATATCTTATCAACATACTTTAAAATTGTAGGAGGAGGATCTGTTCACCCTTCCGGAGCACCTAAGTTTACCCCCGGTTTTTCGTGAGGTTCGTATGGCTCAGTCTTTAGTTTTCGACGTAGTGTTTTGTGGACATATTTGTTTTTTTCGTTGTTTTTCGTTTTTTACCATGGTGTTGTCAATTTCTCTTCGAGTTTTGAATGTCCACCTGATATCTTCTACCTCTTTTTCACACACAGAGATTTAAACAAAAAACGCTGTGATTAAAAATATTTTTACAAAATATGACAATTAGAATTAAAAATTACACACCGAGATTAAAATTGAAAAACATTCACTGAAAAGTAATATTTTACACATTGAGATTTTGGAGCAAATTTTATGCACATTTAACGTATAGGCATTTGTATCTGAGGTTCACTACAGTTACGCATAGGTACCTTAGATGTTGTACTCGGTCTATCTTCTACGTATGGATTTTGATTTCCACTTTGGTACCTTCTTCTTTTTTTGCTATAATAAATTTAAGGATGTTTGCTACTCTGTTTCAAAATAACAAGCTTTTTAAAAGACTGTTATAAATTGATAGTATATAAATAAAGGAACAAAAAAGCAGAGAAAAATGAGGGGTCCGTGTGCTTATTTTCGAGATATAAGCCATTGAAAATTTGGCGGGAAATATTCTCTTTAGATTTTTCATATATTTAACATTGGCACCTTTTTTCTGCCTAAAAGTATGAAAAAATAACAAGGATTTAATAAGATCTTCAAAGATGGTATTTTAAACTATATTTAATCAAATTATGAAAAAAAGTAGGGGTTAGTGGACAGAAATTTGTAATGGCACTACATGGATAAAACCAGAGGATTCCGAATATCTGGCAAAAATTCAAAAACAACAGGAGCGAACATCCTTAAAATGTAGGACCTGCAAAGAAGGTGGACAACAATGAAGGACAGGTTATTTGAACTGACTATAGAAAAGAAGATATTTTGGATAGCAGAAGAATTTTGCGTTGCAACAAGCCACCCACGAACCCCTCGAAGAGTTGTTGCAGTCTTGACACTCTCCCTTTACGATTCATAGGAATTTACGTCAATATCGCGACTGCACATTTCTGCGTATTTATAAATCCTGCACAGTCAAACGGACACCCCTAACATTGGTCTGACTGTCATACTCATATCCAAAGGATTTTTTGAAAGGTGACGATTTATAAAAACAATTGAATAACATACTATTATAAATTTCTAAATCGGATACCCGAAATCTTCTGAGGTTATCTTAAACTGAGGATTTGAATGTTTCGTAAAGATTACAAATTTATTGACTGAGAGTATTATGAATACTGGTTGGCGCCCAAACAAAGGCTGCAAGGCGGGTGTTACTTCTTGGAAATAGCATGTCACCATCAGATATACATGTAAAGACACAATATGTTGGAACATCGCAGTCAAACAAACTTGGACTTCAAACATTTCTAGCATCCGAGTTGATCACCCAATTTTTGGTTGGGTTCGTGTTGCTCAATATTCATAGCTTTCTGTGTAGTGTTTTGTTTTGTTATTTTTTTTTTTGTCTTTTTGTCGTTTTTCTTTTTCTCCATGGTGTTGTCTGGTTTTTTTTCTGCTTATTTCTTCTGATTGCCCACTTTTTATCTTCTCCCTCCGTTTAGACTTTGTTAATCGTTGTGCATATATAAAGAAGTTGTCGCATTTTATTTCTCAAAGTATTCCTTACTTGAATTGGGTGTTGATGGCAGATTTTTTATTGTTTCAGTTTAGTTTATTCACAACTTTTATGGCAGGTCAGTTTGTTTTCAACTTGCAAGTTTGAATATCCAGTTTGATATCTTTCGCCTCTCTGTTGTAAACTCGAAACGATTTTGAACTCAAGACATATTGTTCGGCCACCTGTCTTTTGCTGAATACTTTTTTTTGCCCTCTAGATGTCTTCTGATAATTTGTGTCATTGGGTTGCTGTCTCATTGATGTATACTCAACATCTCATTTTATTCACATAGATTAACTTTTACGGAACATGTAGCATTCACATTTCTTTTTTTTTTCCATGGCTGAAAATTACTAGAATAGAAAAAAAAAATCCATCAACTGTTTTTCCAGAGTACATTGTTGGAAGTATTTGAAATATTTGTTTAGGTGGAAGAATTTTCTGATTTGTTTGCATTTACACACAAAATGTCAGTTTTAAAAGGTGATTGTAAAAGTTAAGCAGAAAAATATCATGATAAAAGTAAACAGATTTAAAACTTTGGTTCGTGACTTATAATGTCACTTTACCCTCTTATTTCGCTCATGCGTATGAAGTTGATGAGTTTAAAGGCGGTCTAAAATGTAATTTCCTAGTACATAACTTACCTTGTGTAGCGTATTGGAGAAAAATTTCCTTTGTTCATAGAAACATCAGTTTTAGTACTATAAAAAATGAACGCAGCATGATATATAATAAATTCGCTTGCTAAGTTTTATTATAAAGGGACGTTTTGATATCTCCATAACTTGTACAAGTGTATATAATCGAACCAACTGAGAAATTAAATGTAGACCCAGGTGGAATGAGCGGATGGAAAAGCACTATCAAGAAATAATGGCAAGGTTAAACTAGAGGCCCTAAAGAGCCTGTGTCGCTCACCTTGGTCTATGTGCATAATCAACAAAGGACATTCTCCAACATTGTAGACGAGAATAGAATTCATGACAAAAATCTCTGTTTTGTTGATCTTATATTGCTGATCATTTAGTCTGTTTAGTTTCTCTCTATCTTCTTTAGTTTTTGCTCAAAACACAAAAGAGGGTAAAAAATATCCTCATTGAAGGGCAATCACTCCTATAAAGAGTGACAGTCTACTTACTATATCGGCAAAATTTGACTTGTTAGTAGATCTTGCTTAACTGATCATTTTTGTGATTCAAAGTGTCTATTTATCTTTTCTAACTTTTATCATAAAAGGCAAAACGCAAAAAAAAATGGTAAAAATCGTCATTAAAGGGCAATAACTCCAATAAGGACGATTTCATGCATTTTGTCTTCATTGTAGACCTTGTCTTGCTGAATTTTTTTGCTTATTTAAGTTTCTGTCTATCTTTTATAATTTTTAAGTTATAAGGCAAAAACGCAAAAAATTGGCAAAAATCGTCATCAAAGGGCAATAACTCTAATAAGGAGTCGACTGACGATTTCAACCATTAGACTTATTTGTAGAACTTGTCTAGCTGATCATTTTTTGCATTTAAAGTTTCTCTTTAACTATTATAGTTTCAAGATAATAGGCAAAAATAGAAAAAAATGGTAAAATTTGTCATTTAAGGTCAATAACTCCTATAAAAAGTCGTCTGACAGTTTTGACGTATAGATTGGTAGATCTCAACATTCTGAACATTTTTGTTTCTGTCTGATTTTCTTTTTTCATAAAGGTTTTCAAAATAAAAGACAAAACTTGTATTTTACCCCTATGTTCTATTTTTAGCCATGTCGGCCATCTTGGTTGGCAGGCGGGATCATCGGACACCGTTTTTAAAATAGATACCCAAATGATGATTGCGTTCAAGTTTGGTTAAATTTAGCTCAGTAGTTTCAGAGGAGAAGATTTTTGTATAAGTTAACAGAGAACGACGGACGACGACGACGGACGACAGACGCCAAGTGACGAGAAAAGGTCACTTGGCCCTTTGGCATTGAGTCAGTGGTTGTAAATAAATGTACTCATCAAAGATACCATGTTTATAATTTGTAACGCCAGACGCACGTTTCATCTACACAAGACTCATCAGTGGCGCTCGAATCAAAACAGTTGAAAGGTCAGGCCACATGCAAAGCTACTGGTTTTCCTGTTTGAATTGTTTTACACTAGTCATTTTTGGGCACTTTATAGCTTGCTGTTCAGTGTGAGCCAAGGCTCCGTGTTGAACGCCGTACTTTAACCTATAATTGTTAACTGTTTATACATTGTGACTTGGATGGAGAGTTGTCTCATTGGCACTCATACCACATCTTCTTATTTATACTGAAAACCAGATGCATCCAAAATTAATGGTTTTCCACAGTTATTGGAATCTGCATACAAATGTAATTGCCCAACGTTTCGTAGTTCTACTTATGTATCACAATTGTTACATACAAAATAATTCGTGACTTTGTATGGAAAACTGTAAAAATAAATAATACCTTGTACTTTGGTACTTTGGTAACTATTGCAACACTGTGGTTGTATTACATAGGTTAACAGATTTAAACAGAAGGAACTGGTTTGGTCTGGTATGTGTAACAACAATTTTTGACAAAAATTCAACAGTTAACAATATGGGACCAAAAGTTATCTGATTAAATCTGTTTTTGTTATGTACTTTTAACATTTAATTGGAAATCACCATTACATAACTGAAACAATTGAGAGATTAAATGATAACCCTGATATGCACACCGAATAGT